AAGAATCACGCCGTGTTATTATAAAAAAATAAAAGTAATAAATAACTTTTTTAGTTTACTTATTTTTTTATTAATAATAATTTATATTATAATAATAATATAATACATGGTTTATAACTTGCGCAAGATAGACAAGTATATTTTCCTATTAAAACTAGGGTAGTTAAATAGCTTTATAATTTATATTAATAATAATAATTTATATATAAAAAGGGTTTATAGCTATAATATACACGCCTTAATAAGCCTTAAATAACTACTATAGCTTGTTAAATTATTAAAAGCTATTAAAAATAAAAATAAATTATATTTAATATATATTATAGTTATAAGTTAAACCTTAATCTTGCTATTTATAGCAAGACTAATTATTTATAATATTAAACTTAGGCTTAATAACTATATTAAAAAACACGTGGTAGTAGTAATAAAACCATGCTATAATAATATAAGGGTTATTTTATAAATTATATTATGTAATTTATTTATAAATAGCCTTTATATTATTATGCTATACTTTATACTTAGGTAACTATTATATTAGGTTATTTTAGTATAAATTAACTATAAAAAATATTAAAAATAGGTAAGCCGTGCTTATTTAAAAAGTAAAAGGTTAAAATAATATATATAGTAATAAAAAATAGGCCACTTACTAATATTTTTAACTATAGCTTTTAAGCTATTCCTTTTACTACGCTAAAATAGCCACGTACTATAAATAGTTTTAAAAAAACTAGTAATAAAACTTAGTAGCATAAATAATTTAGCTATATTTAACTAAAAGGCTGCTTATAATTATTTTATAAAAATATTTTACTAGCTAGGCGCGTGGTTATAAACATAAAAACTAGCTTGCTAGTTTATTTATTAATAATAAATTATATTAAAGTAAATATATTAAAACCAGGAATATTATATAAAATAGCTACTTTTATATTTAAGTAAGTATTTAATATAATTTATAAATAATACCTTATATAAATATATTATAACTAGCTTTATATTACCACGAGAAAAAAGGGTAAAAAATACTAGTAATAATAATTATTATAAGTAGTTAAACTTAAACAGTAGTATTATATAAAATAAAAAAAAGTTAAATAAGGGTTATTATATATTAATTTAGTAATATTATTTACCATGGCCTATAATACCTTAAGCTTTATAATTATTATAAATAAATTAAGTATTATAATTATATTAGGCGCCTGTATATTATTAAGGTTTACTTATTAGTTATTATTTAGGGTAATTAGCTTACCAGCCAGCTTTTAGTTTAAAATAAAATAATTAACTAATTTATTTTTTAGTAACTATATAAGGTTATAATTATTTTTAATTATATTTTAATACCCTAAATGGTTTACCCAGAGGTAATCCAGCTATTATTTAATTACCTAGTATTATATTTTAAAGTTATAATAAAACTATAAGTATATTTTTTAATTTATATTAAAATTAAATAACTATAAAATTAACACCTTAAGTTCCTTGGGTAAAAGCAGGAGCTATTTATATACTTAACTAGTATTTTATAAAAAATTAATAATATAGCCTTTGTATAAATACTAGTAACCTTAAATATAATAAATCTTAATAAATATATAAACTTTTATAATTAGTATTTTTTTAATTTATATTAATTTTAGGAGGTAAAAAAATATTACTAGAATTTATTTTATTTTATAAATTAAATTTAAAAATTTTTTAGTTTTAGTTAGCTAATATATAATACTTGTAAATATTATTTTTTTTTTAAAAATTTATATTAAACTATTATTTTTAATAATAACTACATGTTTCTAGCTAGTATATGTTAAGCTAGTAGTAAAAATTATTTAATAACTTTTAATTATAGTTTATAATAGTTAAATATATAAAATTAATAAAAAAAAATAAATATAATAAAAAAGTATAGTCCGGGCCTGCATGTATAAAAAGGCTAAAGTTAACTTTAGTAATTTATAAAAATAAAGGTAATTTATTTTTAATAGTTAACTAGGAGCTTATAGTAATAAAGCTATTAATATTTAACTTAATATTATTTTTATTAATAATAATAATTAGCTGCGGGCGCCTAGCTAGCGGGTAAGGTATAAATAATAATAAAAACATGGTTATTACAGGCGTGAAAGGGGGTATAAGGGTAGTAAAAATTATAAGTAATAATAGGTATATTAAAAGTAAATAAAAAGGTTAGGGTTTACTAAAAGTAACTATATAAGTTATTTAACTAGCTACTTACTAAATATGTTATTATTTTATATTTTTATAATATTATTTTATTTATTATAAGTTATTAAATAAGTATATATTATAATATTAATAATCTAGCTTTAGCTATAACAGGCACGGTTATTATATATTTAGGTTAGTTTTATTAAAAGGGGGGTATTAAGTAAGTAAATTAAAAAGGTTAGTAACTATAGCAAAGCGCTTTTTACTTTTTTAAAGCTAAGTTAATAATAATAATAAATAAATAAAGCCGCGTAAACCTAAAATACTTATTAATTTTTATATTTATTATAAGTACTAGTAGGCTTGTAACCCATGGCACGCTAAAATTATATTATTAAAAGTTAATAATTATAGCTAGTATAATAAGCAGTTAATATTATATTTAATTTTATAAATACAGGCCATATAGTATTTAAATATAAAAAGTAAGGCTAGGAATATTAAATAATAATATTATAAAAACTTAGTAGCAAAAATAATTATATAATAATACTTTTTTTAAATTAATTATAGCAAACCTAACGCCGCGATATTTAAGTAATAAAAAAAAGTTATATAATAATGCTTTTTTTAAATTAATTATAGCAACCCTAAGTAATTTTACTATTTTATATAATCCCTAATAAGCTCACGTGACCGGGAGCCGGGACCTATGATTTATCGTGCGCGGGCCTCCACTTTGTTCCGGCCTCGCGCAATCAACCTACCGGGACAGGCAAGGCGCATTGCGGAGTCGGCATTCAGGTTCGGGCTAAACAGATGGCGGCAGGGTCAGATTTGCATCAGAATGAGCAAGTCCACTGTATCAGAATGCGTGGTTTGGCGCTATCGACTTCGTACAAACGGACACATCAACAATATTTAGCGCCAGCCTACTGCATTCTGCAGTACTGTACGGTACTAGACGCCATGATTTTGTTTGGTCCTTGGGAGGGATTCCCTTTCCGATTTCGGTCGACTAGACGGACTATTGGCTTTGAATTATTGCAGGTTACCGGATCCACCATGGGCTTTCCCCTCCACTCCCAGCGGATAGGGTCAGGGCTGGCGATCAGCAGGGGTTTACGACCTCCTATTGGCAGGAAAAATCAGGAACGGCCGCTTGGGCCTTTTGAGGTCGAAGGGAACTTAGCAAGTTAGGGGACGTACCGTGTCCTCGATCGTGAGTGCGAGCTTCGCAGCGAGCTAGAACCCTTGAACCCCTTTCCGCATGGGCTGGTTCGTTTCATGTTGCTGTGAGTGTGGGAGTTTTAACTTTCTGAGGTTGGGCAACAGGGATCGCAAGTGTCACAGTATTTCTCCGGTGGCTTGCGTCTGCAGCTTGCTCTTCAAAATACTCTGGACGGTTCGCTGCCTCAAATTTTGGCAAAAGGGGTACGTAGCTGTGTCGCGTGGCTGGGCACACGTGTTGATCTGTAGCTAAACCTCTGTCCGGACTCCGGAGTCCGGAGTAGGTATGGCAGCCAGCCGCCAGCGAAGTTTGGAATGCCCGGGAACCTGGGTTGGAACCAGGAGGGGCAAGTCTAAAAAAGGTTCATGGTCGAAGGAAGAAAAAGAAAGTAAGGAGCAAAAGCAATTTATCGATTAGTGGCGTTCTAAGCTGGCTCTTTGGTGCAGAACCCACCGTCTGACAGGCACATCCTGGTCTAACTCTGCTTTGTATAGACTTCGGATTGGTGCCGCAGACGCAGTTCGTCCCGCGTCTTCTGAAACTCGCGTTGTGCATGTGCTCAAGACATCCTGGGGAACTGCAGGTGCAGGTGGCAGGATACCCCGTACTCTTTCGGTGGCCAGGTTCCTGAACACTGATTGTCGCTGAACCGCTGGACTGTCCTCTTTGATCTCCAGGACCGTCCCAGGCGACCCTACGGTGCTCTCCGACAACAACAGGATTCAGGCACAACTTGCAGAGTGAAGATCGCTGCTCCACCGGCTATCCTATTGATAGTCTAGCCAATGTGGTTTCCGATCTGGAGTTATCGGAGTCTGATCGCCCCTTAAAACATGGCATCCACTCTGTCAGTCGACAATCATCGGGTGGGCGAGCCCCTTGCCTGCGCCGTACTGCAGTAGCCTGCACTTGCATTGAGGTGTAAAAATGGAAAGCATCAATGAAGTATTGGACGGGGTTGGAATCGATATGATGCGCAATTACCGAGAACGTCAGAAGGTGTTGCCAAAGAGTGGGCTCAGTGCACGGGCGGATCGGGCTTGATTTTAAATTGGCTATTTCGTCGACCCGAATCTCCCCTCCGCGGTGATTGTCCCTTGTTATTAGTTTATTTGATTCTCGTTAAAAGCGCCTGCGCCTGCCGCTGGTGCTGTCCGCTGTCATTTCATCTTCCTTTCCTCCTTTCTGCGTCTTACTCCTACCTGGCCATCCCACCTTGTCACTCGTTTATCTTTGTTGATTCGCCCGTCAGCCGTATTTCTCGCCGAAACGCTCGCTATCCCTACGATTCAGGTTGACGATTCAGAATTGGCCAATTTTGCAATATACAACTTACTACTACTGCTGGTGCGGGCACCGTTCGTTTCATGACATCAACTGCACGCTTCACCGACTTTGGTAGTGTGGGGAAGGCTTCTTTTTCTGGCTGAAACACTTCCGAACCACTGCGCCTCGAACCATCTCCAAACAGCTCACGAACACTGTTACCGATATATGTCAGCTTCCCCCGGCTTTCAATTGCTGCCGAAGGGACGTGCTGTTTCCCAAGAGACATCGACTAGGCCTCGTCGAGCCGCCTAGCTTCAGTATGCCGCATAATCCGTTTCTCGTACCTCCCCGGACCTCGAGCATCAATGTCGGTACCGGCGACATTGGCAGCAACAACAGGAGGGACCCCAGGACTCGCTCCATGCACAAGGCCCAGAAAATTCTAGGAACGACAGATATTGCCCTCGATAGCGATTACCACAGACGGTCCGATAAGAGAACGAGCAGAAGTGCCGGATATCTGAATGCACGGGGAAGCAAACAGAGGATCGACGAAGAAGATGGGTTACGGCCTGCGAGTCTTCGAATCCAGTCGTCTTCGCCGCAACTTGGTCAGGAGTACCGAGACCCAGCTGATTCGACTTCGACGCTTGCCCAGCTGTCCAGGAAGCTACACCTACCTGGCTCATCTTCTGGCTTGAACTCTCGGTCCGGCTCTCGAGGCAATACTGCCGATTCGAGCACCAGCCCCGGCATGGGTCATGGTGTGGCTACGGATAGTTGGACCAACCCGGATAGCGGTCTTAACCCAGCGTTCAAACAGCCCAAAGGACCGATGAAGGACTCGAAACGGAAGACGCGGCCCCCAAGGATTGACCTCTCTTTGCTGTTTCCCAAACCTCAAACAGCTTCCACGAATCTTCTATCACCGCAACGCATGGTAACATCACCGTCTGCCGTCTCCTTCACCTCCGAAATCACTGCTGAGAACTCTACACTCAAGGCACACAAATCGGAAAGCCGTCTAGCTGGGAAGAAACTTACAAAGGCACCCCCACGACCAAGAGCATTGAGTCGTCCAGAAGTCAATTCACAACCTCTCGATGAACTCTTGAGTCCATTAGAACCAGTTCGCCCGCCATCCGTGTGCAATAATCCTTCCATGGAGAGGACAGTGCGCACCACCGATATGGACCGGGCATTGATGAAGAACCTCGACGCCGCACCGACCCCGCGATCCCCGGAGCGTGCGTTTCATTACAACCAGAAGAACTTTAGTCGCGGCAGGGAACAGCTCCTGCGGAGTGATTCTAGTTTTGCGACAGCCAGGTCTGGAGAATCGGCACATTCGTCTCAGCGGACCTTGCGAGACCCTGCGTTGACCAGGAAACAAAAGGTCGGCAGCGAAATGGGCCTCTCATCATTCCAGTTTGGTTTGCGCGATGGAATCCCTCGAAGTAAGGGCAATCCCATGTCCAAGAAGGGGAGCAAGAGCACTCTGAAGAACCGGGACTTGACTACTTCGAGTGTGCTGTGTCTTTCCTCCTCCGATGACGAAGACGAAGAGCCACAACCTGTCAAGCCTCAATTCAAAACGGCCAAAAACAGGAGGGATAGCGTCAGTACTTATGGAGGCTACGAGGCTGAGATATGCACTGCTGCTGCTGCGCACACTATCAGAGGGACATTGAGGAGCGTGGAGCGGCCCTCATCGAGCAACACCAAGGGTTCGCGTGCAAGCTCCAAACACCTTCGAGCTCCATCGTCGGCACACGGTAATACCCGACCACGTCGTTCAAGCGGTGTCCCTGCCATCCTTGAGCCTGAATTCCTGCACAGCGATCCCATTTTCGACCAAACGAAGACGCAGACAAAAGCCTCGGAACTGTCCCAGAAAGAAATGAATAGAAGGAGCCGCGTCATGGCTGTGACTAGACAGGAAGAGCGCCTGCTTGATCTCATGAGACAGCGACATGGCAAGATCACACCGAGCATCTTCAACGAGAACTTGGAAGCCGACCGTCGGTCAATGTTCTCAAACTTCTCCGGCCCTTCCCGGAATTCGTATTATTCCCCAGACACCTCGTTTCTACGCCTCAGCGCTAGTATCGCCCCCGACTCAGCACGTGCAAGCCAAATCACGATGAAATATAAGGATACTGGCGCCTTGACTCCCACAGCCACAGCATCCGACTCTGAAGAGACTGCTACAAAGTCTATGCCGTCGCCGCAAACGAGCCTATACTCAAAGAGCCTGCCTTCCCCTGCTACTAGTGCCACTGCTGCATCCCCTATCACGCCTACCCTTCCTCTTCACCGCTTCTCGCCCTTACCGTCCCAAAAGCCTCCCCCGCGTCTACCCCCACCTCCCGTTCCCGATCTTCAAAGAAGCCATTCTAGAAGGCGTACGGATAGCAGCGGCGCGATTGTCCTGGAGAACACCGCAGAGGATGCAAGACAAAGCGGCGAGTTTCCTCTCTGGGCACTAGGGTGGGCTAACGACAACAACAACCTGACCGCGGTGCATTGATCTGATGCACCCTGTACTATCGTTTAATCTCTAATCACTGATACTGTTTTCTATGTTGATTTGCGTCATGATCGCTTCATCTCTTTTCTTTTTTCGTTGGCGGTATTGTCTTTTCTTATATCCATGATGCGCTGATTCATTGATTCCCATCTGTTGCGTGATTTGTATTTTTGAATACATTTCCAGTCCTGGGAGGTTTCGGATTGGATATCAAAAATTAGAATAATATAATGTGTACATCGGATCGCCCTTTTTCGTTGTTTCCTGAACCAAGAAACTCCATACGGGCTTCGTATGGAATTGGAGCGCCGCGTAGAGCGTGGTACCCCGTACACCAGTTGGGCATCGCCGATCTCCTTGCGTGGTGACGTCTAAATGGAACGATCTATCGGCTAAGCTTCAGGTATTCAAGATGGCAGATAACAATGCCTTGGAGCTGAAGGTCAGATGGCGTCATGACAGTATCAGCGGCGGCCACTGCAAAAGCAAGGGTTCGCGATAAACACCAGGCTTAAATCAGAGTGCGAAACGTGTGGCCACTGGCCTCTGGGGTATGCTCTCTTGTTCAAACGCAGCATAATCGTATTCGTGGCCCTGGCCTGGGTAGATCGCTTCCCATTCTGCAAATTGGGCCTGAGCCTGACGTCAGGAGCTCCAGCCAATCGCGTCTTAGAACCGCTTTCCCGCTAAATCCAGGGGAAATCGCTCGATTCCATACCGTACCCCGTGATTTAATCCCACACCGCCCGGGTTCGAGGTCGACAACGGACTAGCCTTCACGCACCCTCTGCATGAAATAGCCCGGCGGCGCCAAATTTTACCCCTGCTAGAACACGGCCTGATCTCTGAAGACCTGTCGTGTTTTTTTTTTTATCTTGTTATCTGAAGAAACGAGCGTGCTTGTTGCTGCGAAAGCATAGCTAGCTAGCTACCTGCTACTATCAAGATGGGCGACCAGCGACGGTCGTCAGGGCCGGGGGCGGCTTGGAAGCATGGGTCTTGGATGCTGGTAAGCCAGTGTGGCTCAAAGCTGATGAACTGTTATTCTGACTTACTTGGCTTGTCGCTAATCGATTCTATGCTATAGTTGACAGTACAATATACCACCTTCGTCCTGGTTCGCTTCCCCGCTTTGTCTCCAGTCCCGGGCAATGACTGACTGATCTTCGTCGCCTACAGCTAGTACACTACTCCCGAATGATGCCTCCCACTGGTGGCAAGCGATATCTCACATCGACCGCCGTCTTCTTCAACGAGGTCGTGAAGCTCGCCATCTCCCTAACGTTGGCACTATACGAAGTCTCCAAATCCGCTCCGCCATCGGTGCCCGCGACGTCCCTCCTCTCTACTCTCGCAGCGAATATTTTCTCTGGCGACAGCTGGAAACTAGCTATCCCGGCCGCTCTTTATACGATGGCGAACTCGCTGCAATATATTGCGCTCTCGAATTTACCGGCGGCGACATTCCAGACCTCATACCAGCTGAAGATAGTCGTGAGCTCTGTGTTTGGGTTCATACTGCTGCAGAGGAGTGTTCCCCTGCGGAAATGGGGCTTAATCCTCCTGCTCGTTGCGGGCGTTGCAATTGTCAATTTGCCTGTTACCAACTCGGATGAGCTCTCGCTCGACGGTGCAGCGACTCATATGGACTTCCCTCGGTCATTGGAGGAGTGGAAGTCGGCTAAGTTGCAGGGTCAGGGCTTGCACAAGCGCTCTGCTACGTACGAGGGCATTGAGGAGGATATCCTGACTGCAACACCATCTATGGACCGAATTGTTGGCATCCTTGCTACCCTTGGTTCTTGTGCTGCCTCCGGTATCTCAGGAGTGTATTTTGAGAAAGTGATACGAGATAGTGCGAAATCCACGTCGCTTTGGGTGCGCAACGTGCAGATCGCGGTCTACTCTATCTTTCCAGCCCTGTTCATTGGTGTGGTTTTCTTGGATGGTGAGAAGATCGCCAATGGTGGGGTGTTTGACGGATACAACTGGGTAGTTTGGGCCACTGTCGTGGTGCAAGCCCTCGGAGGGATTGCTGCACCTTTTTTTGCTGGACCGGGCTTTGCGGATGCTAGGAATGTCGCCTCGGCCACCACGATTATTCTGACATCCTTGGGTAGCGTGTGGCTATTTGACTTTGAGCCAACTCTGACTGTGAGTTGAATCCTTAAAAAAACTTCATTTCGGGCCAAAGCTAACTAGGCCTCAGTATCTCCTTGGCACTTTCGCAGTCCTAGTTGCTACCTATCTCTGTGAGCTTCCAAGCTCAGACCCCAAGCTTCGCCCACCGCCGATTCGGGTCGGACGCTACGAGAAGGAAAGTAAGAGTGACCAGCCTTCGCCTGCTTCTTCGTCTCCCAAGGAGATCTCCATCAAGCTTCCAACCACGCCCTTTTTGTCCGATGCGGGAATCTCAACGTCCCGACCTACGTCGCCCGGCGTCACCAGGTCCGGCGCCTCGAGGTCTTCAAGCGGCGGGTACTTTTAAGGCTTAACGATTTATCTGATACTGACGATATGGTTACGAGCGTCTCATTTAAGGTTATTGTGTGAACATCCAGCCCTGCGTTGGCTTTTCTGGTTGGTTGGTTGGAAGTAAAACAAAATACGTACTTGCGCATCGTCTACGTATTGTTTCTGTCTTCATACGATGGACGTGACTATCTGCACTGCTGCAATATGGCTTGCTTCACGTTTGTTTGCTACTATACCCTCTGAATGTTTTTCTGAATCCTTAATTTCTCCTAAAATTGATGATATCTCGGTTGTCCGATTGACCTATTCGGCGCTCATTCAATCCTGCCTCCTTTTCAACTCTGAAGCAATTATACGAGCTCAGGCTACCACCTTCTCGCCATGGAAGTGCTTGGATTAGCTATATACAAATCTCTTGTCGGCGGGCGAGCAGGTGACCTGCCTTCCAGTCCGTAGTTGCTACTACCCGCCCCATCCCACCCCATTCTATCTCCTCGTTGCTTCATCACTTCATTCATTCCATCATTATCAGATTAGCCGTTCCAGCGACCATAGTCTCACAACATGAGACAGGGAGCTGACCGCCCCTTCTCCATCCCGCGCCAGGGCTCCGGTCCATCCTGGAAGCGCAAGGCAGATGGACAAGGACATGCACCGAGGCAATACCCAGCATCCTCGCAGTCTCGTCGGCACTCCAACAGCATCATCGACGAGAAGCTTATCCACGGGTCTCAAGTATCGCCATTCTTTAGTAAGTTCCTCAGACAGCCTGGGCCTCAAGAAACGCTCTCGTACCGGCCGCCGCCCAGTACGCAGGTGTCTGCGTTGCCGACGCCTCAGGATGAGGACTTTGAGGATAATGCACAGCTCGATGCTTTTGGTGAGATGGGCCCCTTCTTAAAATATGGGCGTCTTCCTGAATCGTAGAGTTATCTGACTGCCAGGAATTCGCGAAGATCTCGAGCTGCTTGCTCAATCGGAAAGGAAGACGGGCAACTATGACCATTTGCCTGCGTCTAATGCTGGGTATTATCCGTCGTACCAGCCTCAGCGAGATGGGCCTCAGAGGCAGGTTTCTCAGTTCTTCAGTGGTGAGTTGGAGCGCTCTTGGTCATTCCTCGATAACCTTCTTACGGATACTATATGAACTATATCAGGCATGAGCTAATTTGGATTCTAGGTCTGCAGGTTACGCCCCATCGAAGTATAGGCTCGAGCTCGTCGGATGTCGATACAAGGGAGGCATCTAGCCCGTTAGCACGGATTCATACTGAAAGGAAGAATGGCTTGTCTCGAGGACGGGAGCTAGAGATGCAAAGAATAACGGATATCTTTCACCCACAGCATACGGAGAGAGAGGTGCAATATCCTCAGTCCATCACTGACTCCCCGGCCTGCCATGACCCGAGTACACCGTTCCAGAATATACCTGTCTCCGTTCGCGGCATTGTGCTCTTGTCAGTGCGTGAGCTACCAGATAATTATCGCTCGCTGTTCCATTTTCCGGTATTCAACGCCGTGCAGTCCAAGTGCTTCCCGACGGTCTACAAATGTGATGATAATGTGGTGCTGGCTGCTCCGACGGGGAGTGGCAAGACAGTCGTCATGGAGCTGGCAATTTGCCGCCTACTCAATACCCTGAAGGACGAGCAATTCAAAGTCGTTTACCAAGCTCCAACCAAATCCCTCTGTTCTGAGCGGTTTCGCGACTGGAACCGAAAGTTCCACTCACTTGGTCTCCAGTGTGCAGAGCTTACCGGTGACACGGAGCATAGCCAGCTGCGGCATGTCCAAAACAGCCAAATCATCATTACCACCCCGGAGAAGTGGGATAGCATAACACGGAAGTGGAAGGATCATTCTCGACTTATGCAGCTTGTCAAGCTTTTCCTTATTGACGAAGTCCATACCCTCAAAGAGGCTCGCGGCGCGACCCTAGAGGCTGTTGTGTCCCGGATGAAGTCATTTGGCTCCAATGTTCGCTTCGTTGCATTAAGTGCCACGATTCCCAACTCCGAAGACATCGCAACGTGGTTGGGAAGGAATGCGACTAGTCAACATGTTCCGGCACATAGGGAGCACTTCGGGGAGGAGTTTCGTCCAGTAAAGCTACAGAAGTTTGTCTATGGTTACCAGTCGCTTGGTAATGATTTTGCTTTCGATAAACTGCTCACCTCGAAGTAAGCCCTAACCTTTACTTTTAGTAATCTGCTCACCATGTTGTTACAGACTCGCCGACATCATTGGCACACACTCCGCTAAGAAGCCAATTATGATCTTTTGCTGCACGAGGAACTCTGCCGTCACCACTGCTAAAGAACTAACAAAGCTGTGGAATATGTCCAACCACCCGGCTCGATTGTGGAAAGCACCTTACAAGCTTATACCGGTTAGTAACGAAGAACTCAAAAGTATGGCCGGGTTATGAAACGGATGGTATTGTTGTATCTGCTAATTTACTTGCTGTGCAGAGACTACTACTGCGGGAGTTGCGTTTCACCATGCTGGCCTTGACTCCGCAGACAGGAATCAGGTCGAAACCGGATTTTTAGAGGGAAAGGTCAGTATCATTTGCTGCACGTCTACGCTTGCCGTTGGAGTGAACCTTCCATGTCATCTGGTCATCATCAAAGGCACTGTGAATTGGCAAGAAAACTGCTCCCAAGAGTATTCAGATCTCGAAATCATGCAAATGCTTGGACGAGCTGGTCGGCCACAGTTCGACGACAGTGCAGTTGCGGTGATACTCACTCGGAAAGAGCGGGTGAATCACTACGAAAAGCTGGTATCTGGCTCCGAGAGCCTCGAGAGCTGCTTGCACCTCAACCTTATCGATCACCTAAATGCTGAGATAGGTCTAGGAAACGTCACAAGTGTAGAGTCCGCTTGTTCCTGGCTTGCTGGAACTTTCTTGTTTGTGAGACTGAGAAGAAATCCGACACACTATAAACTCAAAGAAGACGCCAATCGCGATGACGAGGATGAGATGCTTCGTCAGATCTGTGAGAAAGATATCAAGCTTCTTCAGGAATGCGGATTGATCGAAACGAATACACTCAAAACTACGGCATTTGGAGAGGCCATGGCCCGGTACTGCATACGATATGAAACGATGAAGACGCTCCTTACACTGAAACCCAAGTCAGATGTTGCTCAGATTGTGAGTGGATTTCCCCAACGAGTTCTCAGAGGCATACTCACTTTCATAGCTTGCAATCATATCCCAGGCAGAAGAGTTCCGCGATCTTCGTCTCAAGGCTTCAGAGAGATCATTGTACAAGGAGATCAATCGCTCCAATGACATTTGCTACCCGATAAATGTGGACATCGCCCTGCCGGTCCATAAGATATCCCTTCTTATCCAATCCGAACTAGGCGCTGTCGAATTTCCAAGCGGCGAACAGTTCCAGAAACACAAGCTTACGTTCAATCAGGAAAGAAGAGCGGTTCTCGCCCATGCTAATCGAGTCATCAGATGCGTCATTGATTGTCAAGTGCACCTTGGGGACCCGGTAGCCGTCCGCAACGCACTAGAGCTCGCTAGAAGTTTAGAAGCAAGGGTCTGGGATAATTCGCCTCTTCAGATGAAACAGATCGATACCATAAGTGCTGCCGCTGTGAGGAAACTGGTAGCACATGGGATTGATAGTATAGAGACTCTCGAAGAAACCGAGCCGCACCTGATTGGGGTATGGTTGAGCAAAAATCCGGCTTTTGGACTGAACGTGCGGACGCGCCTTGCGGAGTTTCCGAAGCTGCGAGTATCCGTCAAGATGACGGGGAAGGTACGTCGATTCTCGACGAAAAGATGGAGTCCGCTAATGTACTACAGGATATGAAGCCTGGCCGTTCTCCCAGAGTGCTTTTTAAGGCGGAAATTGCATTCATGAACGAAAAGTGCCCGACGTTCTTCCACAGACGACCTGTTCATGTTTGCTTCATTGCGGAAACTTCTGACGGCCGCTTGATTGATTTCCGGCGTATAAGGTAGATACCTCTGTTGTCCTCGGGTTTTATCGCAAATCTAATAGCCTTAGCGCGACTAAGGTCCAAAGGAACTATGAGATTCCGTTGAGTGCGGAGTTGAAGCACCGGGACAATTGTATAACTTGCCATGTTATGTGCGATGAAATTGGTAAGCGGCTAGATCATGACGACATGAACTTTTGGCTCACTAATCACTCAAAGCTGGTACATCACGATGTGCGACATTGAAGCCAGATATTCCAAATTCATGCTTTCCGAAACAAGTTGAAGGCAATGACGCAGGTCAAGAATCTCACGAGGATCGAGGCAGGGCAACCGGCAAGGGAACTGAGAGAGACTCAGCCAGCAAGACGAACCTCGGACGCCTGACTACCGATGAGCTCCTTTTCGGAGAGTGGTTAGACTCGGGTATTATTATGGAAAGATGCATTGGTTCCAAAAGCTAACAAAGCGCAGAGATACTGGACGACTGGGATGAGAATGCATTCGACTCAGAACCACTTGAGCCACCCGAGTCCACAGTATCCCAGAAAACAACATCAAGGAATCAGTTTAACAAGCGGATCACAGAGATACTGGATGGCTGTGACGAAATGACTTTCATATCCAGCATGTCCGAGCAGGCTGAACCATTCAAGCCCACAAGCTCGCAAAAGAAGGTATCTAAAACTCAAGGGAAGAAACCAATTACCGCTGTAGATACCAGTGGCAGCGTCGACCGAGAACATGAAAAGTTGGATAATGGTCGCTGGGCGTGCAACCACAAGTGCAAGGATAAGACAGCGTAAGAAGCTTATGCCACACCCGCGAATCCTGCTAATCAAAGTAGGTGCAGGCACCTTTGTTGTCGAGAAGGGCTGAACAATCCTCCTAAGGTCACGAGGAAGAAGTCCGACAATGCCTATAATAATGAAGCAGCAAGGTCCACCCAGTTAACGCTAACGGGGAGTATAACAAAAAAGGACGCGAAGCTGACCGTGACCGACACTTCCAAGAAACAACGCAAGAACAGTATTGGACTGTCAAGCTCGACCCAAGCTTTGATTCAGCAGCTACCACAGTCAAAAGCGTCGGGGAATCGTGGCTCTGTTGCACCAGCTGTCGACTTGTCCTCCAGTGATTACGGCGACGAAGACTTCGAAGACTTGCCCTCCGCATCCCAATTGCTCTTCGGGTATGACAGCAATCCACCAGACTGTAACTCGCAGGGTTGCAATTCCCAAGTGAGGGTGAGCAATATTTCGATCCCTCAAGGCGCTTTCGATATCGGCGACAAATCGGTCGACGAGGGGACTTCTTCCGCGGAGCAATTGCCTGCAACACGACCGCGACCGACGGACGATAAGCTTCCCAGCACCTATGTCGTCGACCTTGTTAGCCCTGAGCCTCAGGAGATGTTCTTTATGCCCTCGCTTTTTGACGGACATGAGAGACAAAAAAGAAAAATGACAGACACAGGGGAGAAGCACAACACCAGCGGGTGCACCAAGAGAGCCAAGAAATACGAAGAGAAACACAGCTTTCTCGAGAAACCAGCCACCGGAAACAAGGAAAATCTCGCACCTAAACTCACACCTGAAGCAAAGTCTGACGAAGGTGGAAGTTCTCTGATGGTTGACGTACCGGCAGGCTGGGAAGGCATCGACCCAGAGCTCCTGAATGACTTCAAAGACATCGTTGATTTCTTCTGATTTATTGTTTCTGACTTGATCTCGTAGGGCTTTCTGTTCTGATCCGGGTAGTATTAGGATCTTGCTTTTGTTCTGTGGCTGAAATTATGAAAGATGTTTGAAAGCTGTCATCGAGCTCGCCGTGCGAAGGATACTAGGCTGTGTCTGAGAGCCGAACTGGTTAAGTAGGCCTGTAAATCCAAGACAGCCTTTATTATCAGGCAACAGAGCTATTATGTTTCCTCAGAGGCAAAGAGCCCTGGCAAAATGGGCGTTATTTTGAGAGAGTGAATCAATATGCAGCATTAACACAAATGTCAACATAATCTCCAGTCCTGTCCACCAACTTCCATTCACAATTTCCTCCCCCACTCCTAGATTTGCAAGATATCTACTTACACCAACCAACCCTCCTGTCTTATAACTCATCTCTTTATTCATCTTCACCTACATCCAACTCATCCAAGACTGCCTGCTCCAAAATCAACACTGATAACTTTGAGCAGATAATTACCCTTCAGATCATTCTACTGTCTGGCTCCATTGACGAAAAAACAGTTCTCAGAGATTGCTAAAGCAATCGGACTAGTCCAGGTGTTTCCTGTCTTCAGACTCTCCCGTCCTCTTCTACATCGAAAAGCCGTTCTGGTAAAGGCACGGCCTTCTCTGCCTCTTTGTTTCCATTGCCTGAGAGTTCTATCTACAAAAGGTACGTGACCATCAATGAAGGGACTATCAATGAAGCAATGGTTGGCAGGTTTCGTGTTGTATATCCTTTCTTGGCCGCGTTCATCAGGACCCCGTGGACCCTCATGCATCAGACCTTATTATGACCACACTCTTTTTGTCTTTATTATACACTGCATCAGGCGGCTTGATGAACACCTTTGCTTTCTTTATTTTCCTTGCACTCTTTGTCCGGTTGGTGTTTAAATGCTTCTTCGCCCCAATGCTGATTGATCTTGCGTTTGCAATGCAGGTTCGAGCAACACAGCACAACAAACAAAACCATACTCAGCGTTTCGACCCGAGATAGGGATGCCGATTATTCCAACATGGGGAGATTGACATATTCAGCTGTACGTTCTATTCCAAGTGGCCCGTTTGTCGTGACTGACATGTCTTTTTGCAGAGAAAAATTGGCGGCATCAAGGCCGGCCAAGTCGTGTCCAAAGATCTTGTAAGTTCACCTACCATAGCTTGGCATTCCTTTCGTCAAGGAAGAGAGGGGACAAGATAGAAACTGACAATAACAGAAAAAGCGCATCCCTCCTGGCATTGGTTCCAAAGCAGCAGCTCGCGACCCGACTCTCGAAATCGACTTGACCGGCAAGTGCCTAACGGACGAAGGCTTCTCGCAATTCATTGACGACCTGATTGAATGTGTCCGCTACCGCGATGAAGCGCATCCCGTCGGCCTCGCAAAAGTCACGGAGTTCCATCTCCAAGGGAACAATCTCACTGTCCACTCGATGGCAAAGCTCGGCGAAATAATCGCGAAGAATCCAGGCGACTTACGCGAGCTGGATCTCTCGAACAACGACATTCGCGTGGTAACCGCAGAGGAGAAGGATATCTGGAAGTCGTTCTTGTGCTCTTTCAAGAACTGCTATGTCCTTACGAAGTTGGATATTTCCAGGAACCCGCTTGGTGTAGCAGGTTTGGAGATTCTTGCGAACGTTTACATCAAGAGTGACCTTGAATACCTTGAGGCCGATGCCGATGCTATTGTTCGGGAGAACCTTGGTCTCGCTCATGATGAAGACTCAGCGCTTGCGGAAGAAGCTAACACGCTCAAAATCGGTGAGAACAGCTCGAAGGAGAACAGTGATCCTCGCTCGGGCACGGGTCGTTCGAAGAAGTCGCCTAACAAAGGTGGGAAGACTGGTAAGCAGAATGGTACGCCCTTTTCTATCTCTCTTCGCTCAGTCTGAAGCAGCATGTTAACGATGGATTGTGTCACAGGAACTCCCGCTGCAGTTACCCCTAGCAAGAGCGTTGCCCTCGTCGATCTTAAAAAATACGCTTGTACCCGCGGTCTCCGTTCCGTACCCTACTTCATTCTATCGAGTATTGAGCTCGAAAACAGCAGCGCTATCCACCTTTCACGCATACTCGCCACTCAGCGCGCCTCTGAACAACTCCTTACCTTCCTTCCCCCGGGAAAAGCATCAGCCATCCCAGAAGCCGCCGAAGAGGGAAAGAGCATTATCTGGCTGCCAAACAATAGTTTCGCAGCTACAGCTAGGCGCCTACTCGATGTTACTGTGTCGATTCTCGCCCACAAGGCCAAGGACCAAGTGCAGGAAGCCTCGGATGTCGAAGGTCGTACTGACGAAGAAGACGAAGACACAGAGACTGACGAAGACACGAAACGCAAGATGCAAGGCAAGCTGGCGCTCGAGCTCAAGAGGCTGACCAAGCGTGTGCAGCTAGAAGCGCTTAAACAGGAAGGCGTTCATGCTAGCGATATTGGCATCACTGCACTTAAGATGATGGTTGTTTCTCGTGCTCTGCTTCTCGAGGATAAAGACCGTTTTGTTGAGAATCTTGAGCCGGGACAAACTCAGCTTGAAACCGAAACTCTTGAAGGAGCTACAGATGAGGAACAGGTGGAGCACGATCTAGGCTACGTTTCGGAAGAAGAAGACACCCTCGTTGAGCAGTCGCCTTCCCCTGTCGAGTACCTCCCCGAGCCGCAGTACACCTTTTCCCAATCTTTCGCTGCTGGGCCCTTCCTCCCCGGTGCCAAGCTGTTCGACGAAGAATTTCCGGCTCTCCAGTCTATGCGCCAGGAACGACGGCAGCCCCAGCCCTCCGCCAAGCCCGTGACCCCCGAGCCTGAAATAAAGGAAACACTCGCAGCAAGCCCTCTCACCGTTCTCACTTCCAGCCCTGGCCGCCCAGCCTCCTTTGATAACAGCACCAAGGCAAACACCCCTTCTGTCACTACCCAACCCACTCGTTCCTGCAAGAGCAATGTGCGGGGTAGTGGCGCGCAAAAAGCACGCAAGCAAACCTGGCGCTTCGGTCTCCCGACCGAAATATGGCGGCGCATCATCGCAGAGGCCGTAGGGGCTGAGGGTGTTCTTGATCAAGAACAGCAGCAGCACATCATGCAGTATGCCGCTGACTGGGACGCTGTAGCATATGAGCTCACAATCAAGGGCGCGGAGGACCATCAGCAGATTTGGAAATTCCTCCACACTGTCGGTTGCTTAACTTATTCGCCTCTAACTTGATTTACGCGTCATTGTATGACCTCGTCGCTGGTCTGTACTGGCCCGTCTCTTAGATATAGCTGGCTGGCCCTTTGAAGCAATGAACCATTGTCTGTCCAGCGCCACTCAACTCGCTACGGTGGTGACGCACGTCTAGATCCTCCATATGTTTTAGTACGAAAGAGAAAGCTGTACGACGGATAGGAGGAGAGAAAGATTCACCTCTGACTTGGGATAGGACTAGATGTTTTTCGCTTTCTTTTTATGTACTCCAATCGCTCAATTCAACTTCGTTTTTCAAGTGAGAATTGAGCCATAAGATAGAGAATCCAGATTGGGATACGGCCAAACACAAGAATACTGTACATACTTATGTAACAAGCTGGTCGCAGAGGAACTGTCACTAAAAAAATCAGGCTTCTCCGTAGGTCAAAATTATGAGATGCTAAAGAAGGATGAAATGAGGTTATTCAGAGTCTCGAGCCCTAGCCGTCCCAGCAAGTGACGTCATTATTGAAGTGCTTGATAAGATAAGTAGATACCACGTGATCGGATAATATCCCCGCAATTTCCGATAAGACTCGCTCTTCTACAACTTTCTGCTTTCTGCTACTCGAACAATCGCTTGTGGCCAACGCTCTTTTGTCTTGTAGTCTCTGGATACCCTGACAATCACTGATTCTGTTCTCGCTGAATTCGCTGTCTTCAATCTTTCACGCCTGAAAAACCTAGACAAAATGATTCGCGCAAGAAGAACGAACACCGCGGTGCCGATAGAGGACTCCTCCAACTTCCCCTCCACCTTCACAGACGGCCTTCCGCTTCCAAAGCTCATCGCTTTTGATCTTGATTACACTCTCTGGCCTTTCTGGGTAGACACCCACGTCACGCCCCCAATCAAGGCGCGCGACAACAACTCCCGCTGCACTGACAAGTAAGTCCCTGAATTTGCCACCCGCTCACTCTCCAAATCTGACAAGGGATTTCCTCAGATGGAATGAATCGTTCGCTTTTTACCCCCACGTCAACTCCATCATCACAAGCTGCAAATCCCGCTCGATTCCTATGGCCCTGGCCTCGAGGACGCACGCTCCCGATCTCGCGCGCGACATGCTCAAACAGCTGCACATCATCCCGAACTTCAGCGATAATCCCTCTGCGAATAAGGTCCGGACGGTTAGAGCGCTTGACTACTTTGAGTACATTCAGATCTTCCCGGCCACGAAAACGCAGCATTTTTTGAAGATTCACCAGGCGAGCGGGATTGCGTATGAGGATATGCTTTTCTTTGACGATGAGGCGCGCAATCGCAACGTTGAGACAGAGTTGGGCGTTACGTTCTTGCTTGTTAGGGATGGCATGACGAGGGAGGAGGTCGATAAAGGGGTTTGGGCCTGGAGGAAGAGGAACGGGATCAAGCAGAACCAGAAGGATGGGGAAGAGCAGGTGAGGAATTAGATGCTACCGAATTTATGTTATATGAGAAAGATAGATACCCCATGGGCAATAGACTGTTTTGAATTTTGAATATGTGATACATCCTATTCTTTGCTGCCTTGTTCTCGCCAAGGACATCCGCTTGAACCTCCCGCTACTACTACCTAACCGGCCTCCACGTTCCTGCTACCTACGCTAGACAGCAACGCTTCAAGCATGGCCATTTAAAACATTGCCCTGGTATTGACGGCGCTATCCGCATCTTGATCTAGAGACTCAGCATGTCAACGTATCTTTATAGTGGCTGCGCCCCCTCGATTCGACTCTCTCGTCCAGTCTCAAAGCCAGTGCCCGCCATGCGCACAAACCGCGACTACAAACCACCATGAAAACCTTCAGGACCTTGCCACGGATTGGCCTTATCGCAGCCGGCCTTCCACCGGTACGCCCATCGCCTATCTGAGTCAAATATACCGGCACTAACACCATCAGGAACCCTCGCGCAAGATTGCTTCGCGAACGCATCAACCGCCGACGATGCCGTGACCGTGAGCAGCTAGGCTTACCTGAGCCGTTCTTTACCTAATGCACTGCTATAACCGGCTATATCCGTATAACAAATCAGCTATCGACCCGTCGTTTGTTCTAAATGATTTCTTCAACGTCGCTGGGAGGATTCAAATGGATGATGATGACGATCAGGGATCCGAAATTTTATCGTCTTATGTGATGCCCGATCTGATTGCCTTGAGTGGGCTGCATTTTTGTGGAGCGTCTGATGTGCAAAGGCCCGCTATTCAAACCATCGAGGAGTTGAGCTTGATGTCTTGGGCTGGCGGAACTGCGGATCTGTCTGCACTAGTTGAGACAGGGAGTGTTAGGATTGAGGGGCCTTGGGAGTATGACTCTCTGTTGAGGGTAATCATGACTCTTCTGATATTGGTACAGTATATACCTGCAATCACTCTAAATAGTCACACCGAAGCTCATCGTCTGCAGCAGTATCAACTGCGAGCTGAACATGGATGACATCTACAACACTGATTCGGATGCCGCAGTATCAGTGAATCTGCCTGTTTTGGAGTCTGCGACATACGGTTAATGCGAGCTGTGTGAAGTCTGGCCAGCCTTCCCTATATGCGCTTGCCGATTAAAGGCTGACTAGGCCAATGGATTAAAGCACATCAATGCCGGCTCTACGGACCATGGGCCTGAGCGATTCTCCCGCGTCGTCCGGGTTTGAGCTTTATTACCGCGGATGGCCTACAGAATGCAGCACGGAGCCGCTGCATACCCTTTACGGGCGTCTCGCTCTCGTGGAGAATCATCACGGTACGAAACCTTTAATCCTCTTACGAAATTCTATCTCTCTGTATGCAGAAGGCCAGCTAACATCTGACTGGTCTAGGCTTGACATATCTCCCATCACGAACCCCAGCGCCTCGATATACCTCAATGCTACGACTCGCTCCAATATCTCATCCCCTCTGCAAGGGGTGTTGAGCTTGGATATCTACGGCAGGATCGCTGAGTTGGCGAGTGATGTCCCACAACTTTATCTCACCAGGCTAGCGCTGGACCTGAATCAGATACAGAATTCACTTTCCGTCCCTCGTATCTGTCGACAAGCTCAAAATCACCTCAGCATCACCTCGGACTACGATGATACCCTCCTTTGCCGGTCGTCCATGCAGTATTCTTTAAATAAAACAGCGACAACGCCGTCTGATAGACCATCCTGGTGCAGCGGATCAAGCGATGAAGACGGATACAAAGACGATGATGATGAAGAGACCGACACCGACGAGCACTCTCCTGGTTTGTCTGGTATTAGATGGTCCTTGAGAGCCGGAGACATGGCCGGGATCGTCATTGGCATTGTTGTCTTCGTGGCACCGCTGCTGTATCTGTGTGATGAGGAGGAGCGGAGAGCGCAGTAGCAGGAGGAGGCGCAACAGGGATGGGATTCAGCTTGGAGATGCAAATCTCAAAGCCACTGCTAGTGTTTATGTGTGTGAGGCATGAATACGCATGGGGAACAGCATGAGGCAGTAATACTACTGTCGTTGATGACGAGCATGGGGGTGCGCCGCCACCGCCCTACCCGGAAGAATCCGCCGGCGATGTAGGATTCTTGATTTTTTATTATGTGACTATGTAGTACTCAATAAATGTTTTGGAAATTACCCAGGGGTGAGCATGTCTCCTCAGAGCCTCCGGATCTACTGAATCCTTGCTCCAGTCGTTTCTAGGAAACGCCATAACCATCAGCGAGGAGTATCCCAAGCAAAGACGTAGCTGATCTCCATGCAGAAAAGCAGATAAGTGTGTCCATAACAACTGATCAAATACTCCATACCCCAACCAGAAAATCATGTCCTTTGCCACTGGCACCAGTCCTGCCTGAGTAGATGACTGGTAGTGTGGCCTGGGTTCTTTCACTGAAGAGCCTTTGTTAGACACCAGTGTGTTGCTGGCGACCTTATTCACCATCCACATTTCTTCAGCATCTGGCTCCCATTGTTAAATTGGCCCTTGACCACAAGTTTCACATTCAGGCACCTCTGCTTTCTATTCTCCCCAACTCTTCTCTCATCTGGCGGCACCAACTTCCATTTTCTCTCCTCTCCGTCCTCTTCCCTCACCATCTCAACCAAAAACACAACCACCAAAACTCAACCAGCACAAAGCAATGCACCCCCAAACCCAAACTCAACCCCGACCCCGCTACCGCGGCCACTCAACCTACCAAAAACACACCCAACCCGCCTACAACCACGAATACCACATCGGCCACGGCCCCAACCATCTCGGCACCGTCGACGCCGTCACAGACGCAACAACCGCAAAGCTAAAACCCTACAGCCTAAAGTCCATCGCGCTCTCTCGAAACCCTCAGCGCCGACAAACAAGCACGCAGACGCTCCTCTCTGAAATCGCGCACTTAAAAGATCTGCATCATAAACACCTCACTGCTCTAATCGCGACATTCACGCACGAGGACCCGTATAACCCGACTTTCGGGATCGTCACAGCCCCACTGGCGGAATGTGATCTGGAGGATTACTTCGGCTCGTTCTGGGATGAGAAGAGCAAGCAGTATCAGGCGTTTGCGGCGGGGTGGTTCGAGTGTCTTGTTAGCGGGCTGGAGTATCTGCATCGCAATGGCGTCGTGCATGGGCGCGTGAAGCCGAGGAATATCCTCGTTAGGGAGGGGGAGGTGCTCTTCACGGATTTCGGGATCGAGAGGAAACGGTGCGAGATTAAGATCAAGGATCCAACGGGGTTTGGTTATGAGGGGTATGAGGGGACATCGACGGGCCGGGTGACGGTGGATTATGCGGCGCCGGAGGTCCTGGCGCAGGAGTTTGCTGCGAGGACGATGACGAAGACGCAGGCGTTGACGGCTGTGGCGGCTACGACTACGCAAGCAGCAGATATCTTCTCGCTCGCTGCGATATTCCTTGAGATCCTGATTGTCTACCTTACGCCCAATGCGCTTGACGCATTTCGGGCCCGTCTGGCGAAGACTCAAGCCTCCATGACCGTCGGCCATAAGCACAAGGGCGACAAAGCAAACATGCACCTCTCCTACTCCAGTCAAACAACGCTCGCAATGCGTATTGTCCGAGGAACTGTCATCGGGAGCGGCTCGCCAATCACGGGCGAGTTAAACTCCGTCCTTGACCTCTGCGAAGAGATGCTGAATACAGATCCGCACGCTCGGCCGACTGCCGCTGGTCTAGGCTGGTGCTGGACGTACGGACATTTCTTGCCTCCTTCATCATGCGGCGTCACACATTACCCGTGGCGATATCTCCCGAAGGCTAATGCGGAGCCGGTTATTGGGACGAGGATTGAGACTGCGACTGCGAGTGTCTTGGAACAAGTCTTGGAGGCCCATGAATGGGCGAAAGCGAGGGCGATAGTTTGGTTGAACAAGGTACCCCTTCATGACGGGAGGCTTATTTTGCAGATGGCGAGGGATCGAAACGACAAAGAGGTTTTGAAGTATCTGGAACGGAATCTGATTAACAATTTCTGAACAAATACGGTGTATTGGCGCTGGGCTTTTGTTCGCCATCACTCAGGATGTACCATAGCAGAGTTACGGTGTGATAAGGAATACAACAATGATATGAGTCGCATTGCAGCAGGAAAATCGACCATGGAGACGCGTTGCGTGTACATGCATCTGCAGGAGTGAAAGTATTCCGCTCTGGAACTTCTCCGGAAGGCTCTTTCCTCAAATATCCTCTCGGGAATAGCGACATTGCAAGAACTGCCAGGTGGCGAGGAGAGCGTAAAAACAACGCCTCCGCGTGACCAAGACTATTGCACGACAGACCCAACTGTTCAATTGTTACTGACAAGGTTCGATATGTCAAGGCCAGGCCATCCTACTGGACAACCAGAGTTCAGATCATGAAGGCTGGCACATGCTTTGGGAAATAAACACAGGGCACTGAGTTCATGAATGGATAGGTGCTGCGGTAAAGATAGCGTATAATAAGTTCTACCACTCAGTTGATTGAAAGTTATGAGAAGGCAGTGGCTCAACACTTGGCCAAAATGTGAAGGATTCGAGGACCGTACATTCATGTCCTCTTGGCACGTCAGAAGACTGCTAATGCCAGGCGCAAACAAGCGGCTGTGCGAAAGGTGGCATATCCGGTTTCCAGTAGTAACCCCTTAAGAACACCTATGGCGAGTCGTATACTACTGCCGGCACCCACTTCCTTACAGTCTGGAAGCAAGGCCGATCTAGCATAACCTTTGCATAGCTCAGGGCATCCTCGAACGCAATACCATTGCAATTGATCGGTACCCATCTGTCTCCATTTTGATCGGACATCAGACAAGGGATGTCGGCCGCGGCGACCAGCTCGGGCTCAATAGAAAGCTCAACACTCATCCGTTGCAGAGCTTGTAAGGCGGCCCAGTTGGCATCGAATGCACCCTCCCGGTGGGGCCAGGATAGAAGGATGTCTATCGCACGATGCCGGACGCTGTAGTCGCGACACCACAGAGCCGCAAAGTATAACGGAGAAATAATGCCAGCTTCCAAAACGACGGTCGGGCGGACGACCGGGTACTTGCTTAAGAGTCCCACGATCATGTTGACATGTGCCTCATACTCCGAATTGTAACAGTCTAGTACGGTCTCATCGCGTACGAGAGCTAACCTGATCTGGAGGCCGAGACTGCGGAGTTGTATACGCAATACGTCTGCTCCCCTTCGCTCATCCGGAGGAAGAGTGCTACATGAGCAGAACGGCTCAAAGCGGTGGCCGAATATACCGAACTGGGATAGAACCTGCAGCTGCTGAGATTGGAAGAAATCATAGTCCGTGAGAATTTCCTCTTCCGACAGGTCTTTGCACAGGAACACAAATCGGAACGCAGTGCTGGTCAAGAAGTCGAACGCTTGGCGTGCCTCGCTCAGATTATTGAACGCTGTCAAATTGTCCATGTAACCCGCTGGGTAAGCAACTCCCTTATTTGCGCTGAAATCTTTGCAAGCTCCGTATTGTACAGCCTGTGCTTCGAGATTGGCGAAGGCGGCGACTATACATGGCGCAATAGGCCTTTCGGAAGAGTCTGAGACCATGGCCTCGTTAAGGACTTTCAGACCACTCTGTAGATGTAAAAACGCGTCGTCGTATTGGCCACGCAGCAACTGTATCATGACAAACAAGAGGCAGCATATAAGCATTACCTCTCGAAACCGCGGATCCTGCGACGATTGGCGCCGGCTGAGCAAAGCGAAAGATCGTCCGCATTGCTCAAGCGCGAATAGATGCCACTCGTTCTTGAGGTCTTGTCCCGGTAGAGGCATACCGTGTGTCTCGGAGTCTTGGTGTACGGCGCTCAGGGCAATGACGGCATGATAAACTGCAGGGTCTGACTGGCTCATGTGGCAAAGTACTTCCTGCCAAAGGCGCGAGTCGAAAGAGTCCGAGAGTGTCGGAACCGTGTAATGCTGAAAGTACGAGTAGCATCGCCGCTCATCTGTTGTTACCGCCCAGCGAAAGCCATCGGTGATCTCCAGGGGTAGACTCTGCAGTTGGCCCTTATCTTTTCGGGGGATGATCCTGGAGCGAGGCAGTCGTTGGAGATCATAGTCACAGGTGCGACCGGTGCGTGTACAATTGTTGCAGGCGACAGGAGTTTCATCGCATTTCACGTGGCGCACTCTGAAGATGAAGTCAGTCCAAACGCTGCAGTCGACCAATCTTGCAGGGGACTTACCGGCAAGTACGGCAGCCTGTCCGGGACTTTTTGGTGCCGCCTCTGAGTCGTTTTTCTGCGACTCCCTGCGTATGTGTCATCGAGGTTGAGACAAAGGACAGTGGGCAAAGGATGAGAAAGAAACGAGCTCCGTTCAGGGCAAAATTGAGGCGAAGAGGCTCAGTTTAAGGGTCTCGGGTGGAGGATGGCGACAATGGACGGCCCAGTTTAGGCCCGTGGGGGCCGTTTTCGACAGAGGCATACTAAGCCTGGCCTGCATCGAAGCAGCTAGAGAGTATCCAATGATCCAGCCAATGGAGGTAGGCTGGAGTGGTTGGCAGGATTCATTTATGAAATGGCGGGGGGCCTTGCAGGAGTTAGCTCTGCCGGGAAAGGAATGATAAGGCCAAGTCACGTGCTATAGCATACTAGAACAGGAAGGAGCCACCATTCACCATTCACCCTCGGGGAGAAAGCGCCGAGCCGAGAGTCAGTTGCGGGCTAGACCCGCTAGACCCTTGGAAGTTGGAGAAGACGAACCTAGCTATGACAAATATGTACTCCGTAGCGTCTCAGAATTGAACTATTCGCCAGTTTCCACTTTATATCCCTAGCACGGGGGCGGCTCTATATTTCCTCAATTATTATCCGGCTCTGCAGCCTACCGGGAGTAAGCACTTCCTTCAGCCCTGGACTATCTATACAGAGCATCCAATTCTCATTGGCTATGGACTTGGAGTGGTCTATAGAGTACGAGCGGAACATGCCGCCAAAATCACCATTTTGAAAAGGCGCTTCAACAGAGCGTCGGCAATATACTGCCAATGGAGATGAGTCAGGTTCACTTGTTGTCTGAATACGTAGGTCCCGTCATTTCTAGGGCGCAGGCTTTAATGCCGGGAGTAATGCGCGTGGCGCGGAAGGCTAACCTAGCCAAATTAGGAAATAGGGCATAGCTCTATTTCTTTATAGAATAGGGCCTTTAATAGGAAGACGTTGTGTATTTATGGTAAGAATTAATTACTAATTCTCTTCTTTAAGTTGGAGTTCTGAGTTAAACTTGGTGTTTTATGCGTCATGTGACTGGCCGCCGCCTTGGCGCGGGGCTAGTTCGGCGCCGAAGTCTCTCCGTTAGGCGGCCTTAGGCCACTATGCGTCATGTGACTGGCCGCCGCCTTGGCGCGGGG